AAATTCGCCTCCGTCTGCTGAAGTATCTGGGAAGGCTAATATAGGTGGAGAAGTTAACCGAGCCTTCAAAGCATCGAACGCCTGTTGACACTCGCTGGTCCATAAAAATTTTCGTCCTTTGTGGGTTAATCGGTGTAAAGGTGCTGCTAAGGATGCGAAATCACGTACGAAGCGTCTATAGTAAGAAGCTAGTCCAAGGAAGCTACGAACGTCTTCGGGTGATTTTGGTTGCGGCCAATTAACGATCACACGTGTCTTTTCTTTATCTGTTGCCACTCCATCTTCTGTAATGCGGTGCCCTAAGAAAAGCACTTCTTTTTGCAATAGTCGACATTTAGATGGTTTCACTTTTAGGTTATGCTGCCTAATACGTTGTAGGACTGCCTTCAAATTGGCATTATGTTGTTCTGGCGTGCTGCCATATACAATAATATCGTCAAGGTAGATTAAGCACTGGTGCGGTACGAGACCTTGCAGAACTGTCTGCATCAATCGTTGGAAGGTAGCTGGGGCGTTAGTTAGCCCGAACGGCATTACTTGAAATTCATATAAGCCATTAGGCACTACAAATGCAGTTTTTTTCTATCTTGGGGTCGGACTTCCACTTGCCAGTACCCTGATGCTAAGTCTAGCGTTGAGAACCAGCGAGCACCTTTCATGGCATCTAAGGTAGCGTCTATCCGTGGAAGTGGAAAAGAATCACGCTTAGTTATAGCATTAAGGCGCCGGTAATCTACACACAGTCGTAGGGAGGAATCCTTCTTTTTAACTAAGACAATTGGCGATGCCCAGGGTGACGAAGATGGTACAATAATCTTTTTTTCTAACATATCTTTTATCATGGATTCTAAATGAGGTTGATAATGCACCGGGACTCTGCGAGGTGGTTGGCGTAATGGCATGTGGTCACCTGTGACAATGGAATGTTGCACAATGGTTGTCCGATTTCCAGAAATGTTCTCCGAGAAAACAGTGCTAAATCGTTGGAGTACGTCAATGGTAGCCCGACGGTCCTTTTAACTTATTAATTGGTTATCTTGTACCTGACGTACAATCTCTGCAGTTCCCACCTGGGCTACGGACTTAGTTGGTATTTCATGGTGTTGTATTTGTACGACAACTCCACCAATATTCGCTTCTGACTTATTCATGTGTATAGAGACCTGGTATTTTAACATGAAGTCGACCCCGAGAATCATGTCCCAAGTCAGTAAGGGGCAAACCCAGAATTCATGTTGAAAAGGCTTCTTGTCAATCGTCAGCTCTAACCCTATCTTAGAACACGCTTTCAAGGGTTCTCCGCTCGCGGTAATTAAGGTAGAAGAGCGTTGTTTCCGCTGAGTGCTGGGGTTAAGTTTCTGCAAGAGGTCTTCCTTAATCAAGGATACTGAAGCTCCTGTATCTAATAGTATATTAATCTCAGTACTTTGCACTCTACCCTTAATAGTAACAGGGCACAAATGTTTAACATAGCAAGACGATATATGTAAACGACACTGCTTACCTCTGTTTTTCACGCGGTTATGCCCGCATTTCTTGGCATTTTTGCCGAAACGTCTGCAATAGAAGCATTCTGTTTGCTGGGCTCGATAGTTGTCCCTTGACGACCGTCCGTTCCATGTGGGGGTCGGCTGCCCTCGTCTACTATTCTGGTCAGGGAACCCTCTAACAGCCGCGGCGCTTTGAAAGCTATCTTGTCGATTAGGTTCGGTGGCTTCATCGATAGTCATCACGGTTGGTCGATAGGTCGCCAATGGAACTGACAGTCTTTCAGCAGTCAACAACCGAAGTGCCGTTCGTTTCAAGTCGGCTGTGTCAGCCGGTGGCACTCGAAGTAGATGTTCTCGCAGTGCACCTGGCAGCAGTCCTTCAATAAAACGGGAGCGTGTAATTTCTTCTCGCCCCAAGATGTCCAGGCTAGGGAATGCCTGGGTTGCTAGCTGCTGTAATGAGTGAAAATAGTCGATGGGGTTTTCCTGAGGTTTCTGGTGGCGAGACAAAAACTGCATTGTCATCTGTTGGGTGTCTACAGGCAGGGAAAAACAGTCGTCTAAAATCCTCCAGTTTTGTGGGAGCGTGTTACTGGCCGCAAAACCGTTTGCTATAGCCCTGCGTACTGCTTCATCGCTTAGATAGGAAACAAGGTAGTTGAAATGCTCGGACAATGGAACTCTCTGCAGGTACGCTGTGACTTTAAACTTCCAAACGGAGTAATCTGATGATGTTTCGAGCAGTGGTGGTTGATGTGGAGTTGAACTGGAAGTAGCCCTGATTGGAATCAGAGGGGGTTCGTCTAGGTTCTCATCGCGTTTTTCCATCTCACCTCCGACACCAGTTGTAACACGTGTAATCAGCAGCCACTGGAAGATGGGAAGACCTAAAGCCACAACACACACAATGTTAACTGAACACTCTACACCACAGAGAGAACGAGGAATGGAGGACAATGGACGTTTATTTTTAAAATTAAAATTCGCGGGGGCTGTACAGAAAGAGGGCTAGTTTACAAAACGGTCTTATGAATCATCCTGTAAGTTTAGTGCGTGCAGGGCTTGCTCTTCTTCTTCCAAAGCGTTTATTCTTGCTTGCCCTGCAATAGAAAGAAAACAAAATCTATTAACAACATCATACATGATGATTTTAATCCCGTTACAGGTAAACATTTTATAATCTCGACTGAATAGGTCACGAGACTAATGAGCATACTGATGTGTTAAAACAAATAAAAAAAGATAACTTGTTGAAATGTCCAGATAGCAAGAACACGTAGCCCAGATATTCAGGTAGGCAGGTTTTTATCAATCCACTGTCTCCTAAGGGACGAATTGTGTTTTACTCAATTAAATAAACTATAATATGATCGGTGATATATATGTTGTTTTGATACGGTTGCATAAACAGTATTTTCGATTCATATACACCCCATGACCATGAAGTCACTTTCATTTTCTTGATTTATTCATCTGCATACATTAACTTCTGGAAACAATCGAAGGTGAAACATACGGCAACATGAGGTTAAGAAGATCAGTGAAAAGAGAACCAGGACAGAGAATGATTGCTGGAGGAACAAAGAAACAATAAAGTCTGAGACGATTGGTTGACATTTTGCAAATGAAGTATTCACTGTATGATTCTCAGATTTTAATAAGCTGTTCTGCACTTTTGTATTCAAATACATTCGATTGTTACCATTTGTGTTCTCGTCGACTACAATAGGAATTCCAATTTATATAAATAAATGTTCGTTTTTGAATATTTATCCCTTGGATTCTATGCAGATTATTATAGTAACCACCGAACCGGGTGGTTTTCTTAGGGGGCCACACCCAGAGCCTTTGACCTAAAGGTCTAATCCACAAGGCAGTGGAGCATCTTAGGAAGATACAGTCCCATGGTAGCCGAAGACGAACAATCTTTTCATATGCCATTTGTTCTCTCAGGATCCTGGAGCTATTGTACTTCACTAGTTTGGAATCAGGGTTTTCGAACTTTTCTAGGCGGATCCTCCGTACCCACTGACCCGGTTAAAGCACTGGACATTCAATTTTCGTCCTCTTAATTTCGCAAACAACATCTGTGGTGCGAGAAGGCAGTAAGTAGGAATTCCGTGGCGGTGGTTGTATGTACGTGGCCACGTAAGGGCATTACGAGGGATAGAACCAACACACTGCACCCTCGGCATGAAGTTACGTTCATTTTCCTGATGCATCCATCTTCCTACTTTAAGATGTAGAAAAAACAAACTTTTGTATCTGTTGTAGATGAGGAATGAACATCATTAATAGGTTATCTACAGGACAGATAGTAATAGTTATTAGGCACCAACTATCGTTAACGGACGCGTCCTTAAAATTGAAGAAAATATGGAGCTCAAAACAACTGTCTCTCAATCAATATCAAAGTCACAATCCTCAATACGAACGTCAACATAATTAGTTCTACTGTACAGAGTTGAAACTCGGACAACTATTACAACCATCATCAAAAAGGTACAAGTATCTATAAATAGTTGTCTACGTAAGATACTCAACATCCATTGACCGGATACCATCAACAACAACCCACTGTGAAAGAGAACAAACCAGATTCCAGTTGAATAGAAGATTAGGAAAATACAATGGAAATGGATGGGACATACATTACAGAAATCCGTAACATGGAATCCTGAGTGGAAGTGGAAAAGAGTAAAGTCAAAGAACACATTACGTCAGAAAATAGAAGTATATATGAAAAAGGATGAATAACAACTGGAACGAGATGGGAAGGATTGCGCAGGATAGAGTTGGATGGGGAGTGCTGATGGTTGACCTATGCTCTTCCAAAAGGAGTAACAGGCGTGACTAACTAACTAACCATTGCCGTAACCATTAAAAAAGAACACTAAAATTATATCTACAAACGAACCTGTAGAATTATGGTCTACTATAATATTAGTACTGCTCTAATAATAGACCTAATCCTAAAATTGTAGATTTGTCATGATATAACTGCCTAATCTATAAGATCTTACGCGGAAGTCACGCCATCGACTACACCAAGTCACTGTATCGTATCGATCACCAATACATGATGTAGAACAAGGTTAGGCTAGAGAAGGAACAATACATTTAATATGAATAGAAGATATAAGGTAACATTCCGCAAGGACCACGCCTGCATGGCCGAGCCATGCCATCCAATTAACTGTTCCCGCCTTTTCCATCGTTAGGTATTTCTCCGCGTTAAATATTGAATATCTATTTTCCGAGTAGTCTTGTGTTCAGCTTTGACGATTGTGTGGTTATGGTTTAATGCCACTACAAACCAATCACATAACAGTCCTTGAATTACATAATATCTATTATACATTTATTGATTCAGTGGAATAAATATTGACACAAATCTATTAGAAATAAACCAATTATCATCAAAAAGAGATTAAGAACACCCCCACATGATTTTTTAAATATGATTAATAATAATTCATATAGCACTTATAGTACAATTTTTATTCACTCATGAAATTGTATAAAATTAATCTCCATGACAACTATATCTATTTATTATATAAAATAAAACACAAATTTTCTTTTATTCATAATAAACATTTATTAAATGCTTGTCTTAGTGAATTTATTGGTACATTTATATTAATTACAATTGGATTAAGTAGTATGATACATAATACATTAAAATATAATTTATATTATATTAATATATCAATTGGTTGGTCTATTGCATTATTATTATCACAAATTATAACTCAACCATTAGGTTATAATAGTTTAATGAATCCATCGATTACATTATCATTAGCATTGATTAATAAATTATCATTTCATTATGTAATTCCATTAACAATTATACAATTAATTAGTTCATTATTATCAAGTTTAATGATATATTATATATATTATTATAATTATATTAGTATCCATGACAACATAAAATTGATTATATTAAATCAATTTATAATAACACCTAATGGATCACATTTAATATGTTTTATTGATCGTTTATTATTAACTATCATGACAACAATATTTATTTTATTAATAAGAGATGAAAGAAATGATAAAATACACAAAAATTATCGATTAATTTATATAATTCTATTTACATCTGGACGAATTACATCCTTATCAATGAATGCTGGTACATCAATTAATCCAATACGTGATTTAGGTCCAAGAATAACAATTGCATTATGTGGTAAGTGAATATTGTTTTGTTTTTTGGTTTACTTTGGCTATTCAATCCAATATATGTATTACTTATTTACGTCTGGAGGAGCATATGCCAACTACCAGCACTCTCCATCCAACTTTGTCCTGGGTGATCCTTTCAAGCTTTTTACAGTTGTTATTCGTTCTTTTTCATATCTAATTCTGTTTTCTGACGTAATGTGTTCTTTGGCCTTCCTCTTTTCCGCTTCCCTTCAGGATTCCAAGTTAGGTCTTGCTTTGTGATGTAGTTTGATGATTTGCGTAACGTATATCCTATCCATTTCCATTGTATTTTCCTAATCTTCTATTCAACTGGAATCTGGTTTGTTCTCTTTCACAGTGGGTTGTTGATGATGGTATCCGGTCAATGGATGTTGAGTATCTTACGTAGACAACTATGTGTAGATACTTGTACCTTTTTGATGATGGTTGTAATAGTTGTCCGAGTTTCAACTCTGTACAGTAGAACTAACTATGTTGACGTTCGTATTGAGGATTGTGACTTTGATATTGGTTGACAGACAATTGTTTTGAGTTCCATATGTTCTTCAATTGTAGGAATACTGTCTTTGCTTTGCCAATTCTCGTCTTTACTTCTGCATCCGATCCTCCCTGTTCATCGATGATGCTTCCCACGTACGTGAACGATTCCACATCTTCCACAGCTTCGCAATCAAATGTGATTGGGTTGATGTTTTTTGTGTTGAATTTGAGGATCTTGCTTTTTCCTTTGTGTATGTCTAGGCCTACTGATACAGAATCTGCTGCCACACTAGTTATCTTTATCCGCCTGTAGCTCTTCTAGAGTTACTGCCGATCCCAAGCTCCAATAAAGAAGGAGGGTTAGGCATGAGGTTACCGACCTCATCTCGTATAAAACTAACTCTCTTAAAAAACACTAACTAGAATAAACAATTCAAACCATTTCGACACTACCCTCAGATTTAGCATGTCTTCATTCAGAAGAGTTGTGACGACTGAAGGTGAAAACCGATTTCCTTTGGAAGTCACGAAGCTGACACCCCTTCTGACAACCAGAGCAACCATTTTTATAGGTACACGGAACATCCGGACAATGTGGAACATCAGGAAGAATATATATATGCAGAAAAGTTATGAAGAAAATATAAGAAATTTCAAGCAATTAATCCCTTTAATAAATTTCAGTAGTGTAATAAGAAGAAGCAGATTATCAGAACTATGTTGATATAGCAAATGTTTATTAAATAAACATAACACTCTCCAAAACCACACTAGTCTTTCATGTGAAGTGAAGAAGAATAACCAGCTTCCCTTTCTTAGATATACTTCTAATTAGATGGAGAAAATGTCTCAATCACACGATTCATTTTTAGAAAATCAACGTGGACAGGTTAATACCTTGGTTATTATAGTTATTGTTCCGTGCAATACAAACAGAGTTTGATAAGGTGCCTATTTAACAGGCTTGATCGTATTTGTACAAATGACGCCACAAATAATGTTAGGTTGCTACACAAAACATTAATGGAAAATGACAATCCTCTTAAATTCATAAATAGATGAAAGGTTCATGGTACAGTGTGACCTATTATAGCTTTGACAGAGAAAAAGCCTGTTTACATCACCTTACCATTTAGAGGTGAACCAAATAGCCTTTTATTGAAACAAAAGCTTAAATCAGTCACTAACAAGAGATATTGATCATCAAATGTCATTATCAAGGAAACAACAAGGTTCATGAACGAAGCCGCCGTCCAATGCCTCTAGGTTTTCCATGAAGGTCTAACTTAAATTGACTCATGAATTCAACTATCAAGTTGAACATTTCGAAATTTGTAGTAAGTAGAAAGATTATGATCAAAAATGCATGAGTTCAATGAACTGCTTATTCGTGATATTCCTTAGGATTGAAATATATATAATAACTTAGTGATTTAGACAATATTGTTTAACATCAAATTAACTAAATAATAAAAGACATTTGAAGAAAATTAAGAGTTCTAAAATGTACTACTTATTATACTTATCAGTAGTATAACTCTATGTGTCATTACTTTCGTGATTTACATTTTATGAACCAAATTAATGAGTAAGCTGTTGATAATAAAAGAGTATTCAACTATTTGTATGAACTTTTGGGGATACATTCAAGAAAAGAAATAATAGTATGATTCATTTTCTACCTTGGATCCATTATCTATTGTGAGTTTTTTGTGTTGTAGATGAAGTTAGATTATGAAAATATTTCATTTATGAATCATTATTGAAATGAATTGGAACAAGACTGATTTATCAAGGTTATGATTTGAGTTAAGCGCTGAGTTTAGCTACTGAAACTGTGGTGAACAAAAAAGGGGACAAGTGAGAACAATCGGATGTATTTAAACGTAAAATTACAGAATGTCTTAGTAAAATCTAAGAACTATACAATACATGTCAATCAATCGTCTTAGACTAGGTTATCCCTTGGTTACCATACAGATCATTCTTTGTTCTTAGTCTCTTGTCTTTGATCTTATTTTTAACCTTCTGACACAAAAAGTTTCACTTCTATCTGTCGACATCAATAACATACACCATAATGCAACTATTTTCATTCGTTATTCATCACGACGGATAAAGAATTCAGGGAGAAAAGCATGATTGTAGAAGAAAACTGATTTATTCATCACTTACTAATTGGACTACATCTTCAGTAATATTAATAATAATAATAAATTACACAACGTATTCGATATTCGGTTAATCAATAAATTTGAGTAAACGGAACTAATCAATATCAGAATGGGTTCGAGTCCCGGGTTCGAACCGCGCGGGGTGCGGGGTTGTGGATGCTCACTGCTGAGTAGTCCCATACTAGGACGGAACGGCCGTCTAGTGCTTCCAGGTTTTCCATGATGGTCTAGCTTCAATTGACTCATGATTTCAACCTGTGAAATTAATCAATAATCTAGTATTGTGTACATAGTTTACAAAATCAATAAATTAACTGACACCACAGAGAAATATCATTCATCAGTAAATGATATATATATATATAGTTACAGGATGTTTGTATAGATTATTGAATTACATAATTTAAAGAATATATTGATTTAAATTAAACAATTGTTGTTAACCAAGTTGAATTAGGTAACTATATGATTGTAGTATTGGATTGATTTCTAGAAGATTCTACCATAGTTTTTAAGGTGAAACGATGATGATTAGTAAAGTATAACTATGTCAGTTACGAGATATACAAGGGTATTTGTACAATACTTACTTTACTTACTTACTTTCGCCTGTTACTCCTATTGGAGCATAGGCCGCCGACCAACATTCTCCAACCCACTCTGTACTGGGCCTTCTTTTCTAGTTCCATCCAATTCTTGTTCATTTCTCTCATGTCTATGTGTTCTTTGGTCTTGCTCTTCTCCTTTGGCCTTCAGGATTCCATGTGAGGGCTTGTCTTGTGACGCAGTTGGGTGCTTTCCTCAATGTGTATCCTATCCACTTCCAGCGCTTCTTCCTGATTTCTTCCTCCGCTGGGATCTGGTTTGTTCTTTCCCACAGTAGGTTGATTTGTACAATGCTGTGAATTATTTGAAGTTACATATGTAAATCATCAAATGATAGCTCAATAGTTTCAAGGTATAAAGCGTTTATGTTGCGAAAACAATTTCTTAGGTTTTATCCTCTATGGGACTATGGGTTCTTATTTGTAAAAGTTCATATTGTGGGACGAAAAACCTGTTTTTCTATTTCTTTCTTAACTTAAATAGTTATCTAACTAAAGTCAGTTCATGATGAAGACTAATAATGCTTAATATAAAGTATAGGTCTTGGATTCGGGATCGGGGATGCGCACTGCTGAGGAGTCCCATACTAGGATGAAATTGCCTTCCAATGTTTCCAGACTTTCCATGGTGGCCTAGCTTTAATTGACTCATGAATTTAATTATTAAATTACTGCAGTCTCCATAATCCCCCCTCTCTGATTACAGTTTATTTATTTATTTATTTAAACACAAATATCGGTGCAAGAAGGCACCAAATAGATACACGCCACATAAATCATTCGATTTGTGTGAGGACTGGGCTACTGCCCGAGTGCCCAGACCAAAGCAGGGGGTGTTCTTAGGGGACCACAACCCGAGCGTTCGACCTAAAGGTCTGATCTTCAAAGCAGTGAAGCAACATCAGGAGATGTAGTCCCATGATAGCCGGTGACGAATAATTGGTTCATACACTATTTGTTCCTTCGGGCCCCTCGAACCCATGTTCATCATTGTTTTGAAATCAGAGTCTTCCAACTGCCCTAGGTAGATCCTCCATATCTATCAACCCGGTGAAAGCCTGTTCTGTACATTCGCTTTTCGTCTTCTCAATTTTGTAAACAACAGTAATGCTACAAGAAGGTAGTAAGTAGGAATTTCGTGGCGGCTATGTGAGAGCATTTCGAGAGGAAGAACCAACACACCGCACCCTAGGCTGTATTCGGGCATTTGAAAGCCTTTGATTATAAAGTATATGTTTGTTAACCTTTTATAATTCTGGCATCTCTACGGTTTTATAATCTACCTTGTTTCTTCTTCTTCTTCTTCTTCTTCTTCTTCTTCTTCTTCTTCTTCTTCACAGAATTAGGTTTGGATGCATTCAAAAAAGATCGTTATTATTTTTGGATTCCAATTGTAGCACCATATATTGGTTCTATTATTGGTGCAATCTTTTATGAATTATTAATTGGTGCTTATTTAAATAGAAAAACAGTTGATAAATTACAAAATACTATTGAAATATCACAATCACGAATCTTTTCATCACCATCATCACCATCATCATTATCATCAAGTATGAATTCAAATGTAGCAACACTTACCTCGTCAAATGATACCATTAAACGTTTTTATAATAAATGATTTAACAATAAATGGTTTATTAAGTATTATCTCTTTCTGATATAGTGAATGAGAACACAAGTTGCATACTTACTTACTTACTTAAGACTGTTACTACCAATGGAGCATAGGCCACCGACCAGCATTCTTCAAAACACTGAACTGGGTCTTCCCTTCTAGTTCCATCCAATTGTTATTCATTCTTTTCATGTCTGTCTTCATTTCTCGGCATAAGGTGTTCTTTGTTCTTCCTCTTCTCCTTCGGTCTTGAGGATTCCATGTGAGGGCTTGTCTTGTAACGACGTTGGGTGCTTTCCTCAATGTGTGTCCTATCCACATCCAGGACTTCTTCCTGATTTCTTCCTCCTCTGGGATCTGGTTTGTTCTCTCCCACAACAGGTTGTTAATGATAATATCTGACCAACGGATCCGAAGTGTTTTGTGTAGACAACTGTTAATGAACATTTGTATATTCTGGATGATGGTTTTCGTATTCCTCCAGGTTTCCACCCCATACAGTGGAACTGTGTTGATATTTGTATTGAAAATTCTGATTTTAGTGTTGATTAACAGGCAGTTGTTTTGAGTTCCAGATGTTTTTCAGTTGTAAGTGTGCTCCTCTTGCTTTTCCGATCCGTTCCTTCACATCTGCATGAGATCCACCGTGCACATCAATGATGCTGTCCGGATATGTGAATGTATTTGCATTTTCCAAATCTTCTCCTTCAAGTGTAATTCGATTGGTGCATGCTGTGTTCTATCGGAGAATCCTAATTGTTGAGACCTACTGCCGCTGACGCTGCTGCTATACTAGCCGTCTTCTCCTGCATTTGTTTTTGCCTGTTGAGAACACAAGTGGGGATAATCAAATGTATTTGAATCTCTTCGTAAAATCTGTGAATCATACAGTGAATATTTCATATGAAAAATATAAATTAATCGTCTCAAACTTCATTGTTCTTTCATTTCCATACCAGTCATTCTTTGTTCTCATTCGCTTTTCTTCGATCTTCTTAACCTTCTACCACCAGGTATATCACATTGGATTGATGATATATACTACTTATATCTATCAATATCAGTAGTACATACCACAAAAGTATATGAAATGTTAAACAAACCAAATGAACTAATTCTGTATACTGTTTAGACAATGTAAAAGTTTCTTCTAGTTTCAATTTGACTTAGGCGGAGACAGAATATTTTAAAAAAATGTGGTTAAAAACACTCTAAAAAAGAAAGTCACCAATGTAGCTTTAAAGTTGAATGATAAAACTATACAATAAAATTGTTTTGTCAAACGACTTTTCTGAATACTTTAATGATGACTAATGAGGACGTTCTACTGAATCTGAGTCTTCTTAACCTTCTGTTACCAGGTATTTCATTTTCGTTGGATGATATATACTACTTATATCTGTCGATATCAGTAGCATACACCACATTAGTATAAAAACTACATGTTCTATATTTCCCGTTTCATTGGGTAACATTGAGTCTACTTAAAACTAATTCACTTTACTGAAATATGATCAATGAACTTCACTTGATCAGTAGTTTGGTTGAGATCCTAATTCTTATTAATCCGAGATCTCTCGATAATCAATTAGGCGACGTTTTCTATGACTTATAAACTCATAAGTTCATACGCTTAATTAAATGTTCACACAGCATTACAAAACAAACAAAATCATAATTTGTACATAACTAGGCTTTAAGTGATACAAAACAGGGTAATCAATTAGTCAGTCAGCTACAATGTAGGATCAGGCACATATATGCATTTGTCAAAGTTGCCACACATTATTAGCACAACAAGATGAACACCAACTTCATGGAAGTAGTTACTACAATAGTAGTAATATATCAAAAGTAGATTGAATAGAATGATAGGATACAGGGAGAAAGAATTAGTTCATAGAAAGAAAGTGTAATAATGCTCAGTTTTACTTCATCTAATGTTATAACGGTTGGTTTCCCACATTTACACGTATGTGACGTTAATTCACCTTAAATCGAATATCTACACTAGATTCCCTTCCAGTGCCTATTCTAAAGTAGTTCAACACAATTCAGATAAAGAACACGTGATTAGCTTGACCACAACGTTAAAATATTCCCACACCAAAACCCGACACAATCCAACAACAATAAACAATCAATAATGAGTGATATTAATAATAAGGATAGGGGAATATATAACTCATCTGACACCTGTCAGATTATCTACATATCTGACTAAGCAGAAAACCAATCATTATCATCCTCGCCTACAAGTCAGAAAGGTATAAAGTAATGCAATCTCATGGTTTAAGAGAAGAAAAAGAGTGTTTACACCTACACCACTGTGATCAATTCTGAGTCATGTCACCCAGAGTCTCCAACTACAGGTTACGATAGTCGTGCAGACCCCAAACAATTAGTATGCATCTACCACCAACGTGGCTCAGATCAGAAGTTACTAGCTTTATAGATTGACGCCACTTTTTGGGTTGGCTGTCCCTATCTTTCTTCCAACCATCCGCAAGACTAGTCAGCATGGTACGTCGTGATAATCAGTGTTTTGGCATACGTAATACGAGGACCAACAAACCAATAGGTGAGTTACTTCTGTAGTTAATAACTTACACTCAAGCTTATGTTTAGTCCATTATAAAAATAACTACTAGGTCCAATCAAAGCTTTTGATTACACGATCAACTGATTCATAAAAGCTAGGGATCAAAAATGTGTAGTTTATATGAAATACGAACTATTATTACGAAAATATATGGAATATCCAAGCATTATATACAAAGATGTGTAGTGCCGAGCAATGTAATTCGAGGCGCGCGTTTAGTTTTATTTGGGACGCATCAGCTGAATGTATCTGTACCTCAGAGTTGATGTTCACTCCGGCGCATCAAGTCTGAGGTACAGGTACATCCAGCTGATGCGTCCCAAATAAGACGAAACGCGCGTCCTGGATTCGATTGACATCCACTATCCATATTTGCTTAGAATGCTTGCGAATTAAGGCTATATCGAGGCAATGTTCACAGGATGCACATATACTAATAAGTGACTGATCAATTGCAATGCTAAACATCAATTGAAAGATTCAAACAAACAATATTAAGTGAATTTATCTGGAATATCATTTGTAAACATTAATTCGTAAGGTATCTATGGTGTTTACTGTGCTAGTAAACAATCAAATAAAGAATATTACCGAAACGGATATATATATATATATATATATATATATATATATATATATTTAAAGGTTAATTACAACAACATACAAAAGCCTATATAATAGCTAACAGTTGTTATGTGACTACAATGGCAAATAATAGTCCATAAGAAGAAGAAACACTAGGATGAAAAGTACATGCAATAGAACAACTGTTCAATAAATACGATAGCAATGAAGGAAACTATTACAAGTTTTCTTTTCAGGGATATACAATTATCAGAATGGGTTTTGTGGAGATTTTTAGAAACTTCACAGATTGAAATCATGAGACAGTTGAAGCTCGACCACCATTGAAAACCTGGAAGCACTGGACGGCCGTTTCGTCCTAGTATGGGACTCCTCAGCGGTGCGCATCCACGATCCCGCACCACGCGGGGCTCGAACCTAGGACCTACTGGCTCCGCGCGCGAGCACTTAACCACTAGACCACTGAGCCGGCATCCAACCCATTCTGATAATAATCAACAGTTCACTAGTGACTGACTTCAGGAAAAACTCCCGAAGTTCTAGTGAGAAGCCGTTACCAGTGGAGTTCAACCAGGTCTGTTGTGAGATAGGAACTCACTGAAGACAATGGTGTACGGTGGCGCAACTTCGTGGATTGGTTGAAGTTAGACATTAACACCGTTGGATGCCGGCTCAGTGGTCTAGGGGCTAAGTGCTCGCGCGCGAAGCCAGTAGGTCCTGGGTTCGAGCCCCGCGTGGTGCGGGATCGTGGATGCGCACCGCTGAGGAGTCCCATACTAGGACGAAACGGCCGTCCAGTGCTTCCAGGTTTTCAATGGTGGTCGAGCTTCAACTGTCTCATGATTTCAATCTGTGAAATATACAACTATGATAACAATAAAATAAACTGAACATTAACAGTTTATGTAGATACTTGGTAATGTACAACAACATATATTAAAAGATTATTAAAATTGAAACTGATTACTGGATATTTTATAAGTAGTATAATTCATCATACACAAGAAATGGGATGGGGCAAGATCATAAATAGAATACGCTACTTGAAATTAATGTCGTAAAAGTAAATGTGTTAATTCACCTTCCAGAAGTTTTGACGATTTCATCATCTTCGGAAATTTCGTACAATCTGGTAATTCCTTTGTTTCTGTCATAGCTATACCTGACTGTCTACGCATATCCGTAACTGGCTTATACTTGATACTGAGATCCTAAATCTGACTGTATAGCGAAAACCAAGAACCAGTTGTGCAAATATACTTGTCTCTTCTGACGAGATCACTTAGAGATGTCCATCCATGTCGTGAAAGGAGATCACACTGAAGACCCTCGGCTTCATACTTAAACACTTTACTTCTGAGCCAACGCCTAGCATTGCATGTGTCGAACTTTAATCAATTCTTTAAAATTCACAATCATTTACCAATATCTTCAGTGGGTAAATGCCTGATATTCTATACGTTTGGATTGCATTTGTCACAGGTTTGACTTGATAATTTCAAATAAATTGAACACTGGATAGATTGTTATGAATAAAAATAATTTATTTATATTAATATCAATAAACAGGTTTAACTCGGCGCCCAAATACTGTGAAACTTTTCGATCAAATTTAGACGAAAGTTCTTATTTAATATCCAGGTTTGTTGGGCTTATTGAACTTAGACATGTAAATATCATAGCATTCTGGCTCAGTACCTTAAAGGTTTACCGTGGAATGTAATAATCCTTGGTTTAATCCTCAGTGAAGTTGCGCACGCTCACCACCATTTAAAAGTCCCATATTGTTACGAAACAGCTGTTCAGTGCTTCCTAGTTTTAAACCGTTGTATAACTTAAATAGATTTGTGATATCAATAACACTGATTAATCTCTACAAATCTCTATATTATTAATTGTCCAGTCAGCCAGCTACAACGTAGGTCCAGGCACATATATGTATCGGTTGCCATACCTCATTAGCACAGCAAGATGAACAACAAATTCATAGAAGTAGTTAATTCAGAGGTGGTAATATATAAAAGAATGATTGCTTATAAGGATATAGTACAGGGAGAAAGAGAGATCTAAAGCAACTTTAACATCATAGTTTAAAGGAAGACAGATAGTGTATACATCTACCCCATTGTGATCGAAACTGAGCCAATGTTAAAGTAAATGCTTACACTACTAGGAAGATATTCTCTACATTATAAAATATATGTATATATTTGTTATGACTTGTGACCGCCAATTAGAGAGCAGTGACTTGTCGATCGGATCAATGAGGCGTAAAACACGTGCGAGCAGCCTGGAGTCTGATTGGCCCTGCTCTCCGCCACGCTCAGCCAGTTAAGTCCGGAACACCAATCCGAGCCTCTGCGATATAAATTACTATATTTCAAATATACTGAGTTTATATACCAATCAAATAGACCACAATGTACCAATAAAATAGGAAACAACATTTGTACAAGAATTAGCCAAATGTAGCTGTGAATGAGGGAGGTAGTAATTAATATACTGGGTATAACTCAAGAATGGTAAAACGTATAATAATAGTTTATGGGTCAACATAAAGCTTATAATAAGATAAATATGAATATGCATGGTTTAGTTACTTAATAATTATACGATAAAAGTATACGTACAGTACTGATC